TGGATGAATGAACGACAACATTACTGGATATCTTAGGAGATGGTGGACGGACCGTGTACATAAGAAATCCTACCGTGAACGTTACCTCATACCGGACGGGTATCGAGGATTGGTAATTTGGCACTCATACCGAACGGAGTATGGGGACAGCCTGTTATTTGAAAATGTTGAATAAAGGTTCACGTGTAGTGGGAATATCCTTATGGACCCCCATGGATACCAGTAGCCTGATAAAAGAGAGGTTAGTTTTGGAAATCTTGCTACGGTAAATATACGGTAAATAATTTTATTTATGATAAACAAATTTATTTAAATTAAGAGTTTTATTAGTTATTTTTATGATTTCTACCAAACTTCATTTCTGTATTGGTGAATAGCGTGATATTCTTACTGTATTAGTGTAACTCATCCTTTCATTAACCATTTCATATTAAGAGAACCAAGATCCAGAGCCCGATCCACGAGAGGGTTGCAAGTAGGATACTTGGTTCTTTATTTTTCATTTATTTCTTTAATATCTCGTTATTTTTTTAAAATTGTCATTCTCGTAACCCTATTGGGTAATTCGAATTATTGTGTAATGAATTATTTGCTAGGCTTGCAATCCTATTTTCTCACTTCTCTATGTTGTATGTTGACTGCCTACTATTCCCTTTTCTTCTTATTTGTTCATCTTGTTCCTTTTCTCCTCTCTATGTTCTCTGTTATGTTAAACGTACGCTATTTTGAGAAAAAATTGTTTTAAGATGATGATATGGCAATTATTGTTTCTTTTGACTAATTATTTATTTCCATCCTTTGAACATCCTTCTCTTTCAGTTTTAATTATAATCCATTAGTGTTTGTTATGCACTCTTGTGAATGGTATTCAAAACTATATTGCTTTTTATAGTTGGCTTTTTACATTTGGCGTGCGTGAAAATCTCATGTCAGCAGGAACTATTTGAATGCTACCATATTCTAGATATTGAAGTTGGTCTTGGGCTGAAGAGGAAACATTTGATAGCCATCTCACTTTTGGTTGGAAATGACCATGACCTACATGGGGTGCAAGGAAGTGGGCTTGATTCAGCTCTTCAGTTTGTCCAAAATGTTAGTGAAGAGGATATATTGGATAGGTGTGCCTCTAAGCTGGATTCAGATGTTAGTTCTTTTTTTTTTGTGTAATAGTTTTCAATATGGATCTTGGGTGAATATAGTTACAACTTCTCTTAGAAAAGGAAAATTCTATGCAGATTATGTGAAATAGGCCAGGGCATTACACCAATAGGCTAGGGCCTACTTAAGTCTTTAAATGATGTCAAGCACGGTTCAGAAGAGAGCTTGCAAAATACAAGATCTTCTCATTGTTCCTTTTGTGGGCATCCTAGCAACAAGAGAGCACATTTCAAGTTTCTTGTGAATATTGTGGTCCTGGTATTGACGGTTGTATATAATAGAATTCTGCAGGGATATTAATCCATTATTTCTGTTTTTCTGGACAAATATGCATATGCATATGGGTTGTTTTTGTTGGATTTCTATACAGGCATTTGTTTGGTGTTCATTTAAGATTTTGGTTATTTCTTTATATGATAATAAATATTTGTTTTAGACACAGTAAAAGATGGCTGCTGTATATCATGGAAAAAGCACATAAATTTTAGTTGTTTCTTTGTATGATATCACTATTTTTGTTTAGATGGAGCAACTGATGCTCATTCTGTATTGTATATTTTTATATGATTTAGTAATTTGTGTAGATTGTATCCAGTTCAGTCTGTGTCTAACGTACAGATGTACGCATGTAGATTTTATCAAACTCAATTTGTGTACTAAGCCGGGTATGGAAAGACTTCATAATGTCAAACCCACCCGTTTCAATCCACTTTTTCTTTTTATTAATTTTAACATGACTTGAACTGAACTTATACTTTAATAAAAAAAATCTTAATAGATTAGTTTGATTGAATTAAATTAAGTGAATTTGAGGACAATATCTTATTCCTAGTGTACAAATATATTGAGTTATAATACCCATAGTTTTATCACATGCCATATTTGCAGCTTACAGCTGGTAAAATTAATTTTACCTTTTTTATTTGACCTACCAAAAATTACTGTGTGAGACTATCAAATTAAAAATAAGTCATCGTCTAAAAGTCATGTCACCATTGATAATCACTCACTTAAAAATAAAAGTTTGATAAACTTAAATTTTATTCTTATATTTATAACAATTAAAATCAATCAATTGACAGTTGCATTTATATATCAACTAATTTTTATTTATAACCATTAAAAGAATAAATTGATAATTACATTTATATATCAATGAATAAATTACCTCCTTTAACCATACATAACAATTATTGAAGAAGGTAATCATTATTTAATTTAGGGAATTCTCTTATTATTAAGTTTATTTTCTATATAACAAATTTGAATGATTTATTATTTATTTTCTATTATTATTACCTTATATTTTTTATAATATTCTGTCAGAGGGTTGTTATTATTATAATGAGTCACTAATTAAAAAATAGTAAAACTTCATATTACTTACTCTATCATATGTAAACACCATAATTTATACTATAATTAGTATGTATATATATATGTTATATAGTAAAAATGAAATTAACCTGTGAGGGAAAAAAAAAGAAGAATCAAATAACAAGATACTGCAAATTATGACCGTTCATATGTAATTTAAATGGAATAATAGTATATAATTGGTATCCTATATACATATATGGTTGTGCTAGCTTGCTGGTTACCTTTACAAGTCAAACATTTATCTACATTTTTTGAAATGAATATTGATATAGGAAATGAAAATTTAATTAAAATCCTTATCTAGTAAGTAAAAGTGAAAAATAAAATAAAATACATGACAAGGATTTTGTTTTGCTGACTTTTTGGGAAGCCATTCAATGCACTCAAACCTCTCATTTGCCAAAACTGAAAATAATAATCCTTAAATGGCAACTTAATTAAAACAAAATCATGTTATTAAGATTTTACATCTTCTAAATAGGGTAACTTATTATTAATCATGTTAGTTATGGAATTCATTTATGAAATTTTCAAGAGAGTAAACTTTTTACCAAAATTGTTGACCAATGACATTTTTTTTTCTTTGACCTGCATTTCTATCTGAGTATATCTCAAATACTCTCTTCCACCAATTTTTTTTATAAATACCAAATCCAATCCCTCTCTACTATTCCATCAATGACCTGCTAGCAATAATTTTTCCTCAGCAATTTTTGTGGTAAAGAAACGTACTTTCATATGTTCATTTCAAGTTCTTTTAATCTCTCCTCATGTGTTTTTTTTTTAATTAATTATACTAATTCTTTTATATGTATGTATTTATATGTATATATACTTACATATATCTACATATTTTTTTTCAGTTTAAGAGTCATATACAGTACATCATGAACCGATTCATGGCCGTTACTCCATATTCAAGTGAATATAATGGGATGAAAGTTGATAATATCAATGTTTTGTTATTGGATAATGATCCTGTATGTCTCTCAGTTGTCGCAAGAATGATGCATGAAGGTGGATATAAAGGTATATATATGTATTTATATATGTATATATTAAAGAATTTCAATAGATCTATATTTTTAGTTATGTATACATATTTTACTAATGCTTAATAATATACTTAAGTGTCACTAAATGATAGATGTAGATTAAAGTTGAAAGCATAATTTTCAAATATCGTTTAAAGTTATATTATTAATAATGAACATTAATACATAAGTTAATTTTTAGTTATACTAAATTTTTTATACATATATATGGGGAGTAATCTTTTGATTTTTATATTCTCACGTGTTTACTGATAGTTTAAATTTTTTTATATATACATATGAGAGTAATTTTTTAATCTTTATATTTTTACTTGTTTGTGGACATTTTAAAATTTTCTATGTATACAGATGAGAATAATCTTTTGATCTTTGTATTCTCGTTTGTTTGTTGACATTTTAAAATTTTTTTATCTATAAGCACATGGAAGTAATCTTTTAATCTTTATATTGCTACGTATTTTTTAATATTTTAAAAATTTGTTATCAATATAAATAGGAATAATCTTTTGATAGTAGTTCATACATATAAATTGTTATGTTCTGTTGTATCGTGTTTAAATAAATAAAATATTAAATTAAAATAATCTCCCAAACTAATGATATACAATGAATTTGATAACTAATGATATGAACTATCATTTATAGCATGTCCATTATCTATATAATGCAAACACAATGAAATCAGACCATGTACATTTATGTGATTAACATATACAGAAAATACAATCACACTTCACATCTTAAGAAATGCATAGGCAAGGCAAACACCATTTACCATTCAAGGTCAGCATAAGATTAGGTTATCAAATCTAAAATAAAATAAATAAAGACTCATAATTAATATAATATGTAGTATGTATGAGTAAAAAGTTATATACCCGGAAATGGTAAGTGACAAACATAAAATTAATAATATGTCTTTTTGCATTTTCTTATCCTGTTTATATCTATTATAAATATATGATTATATTTATAATGTTATCTTATATTTATTATTAATTATATTGCATTTTAAATATTACGTTAAATTATATTTTGTTTTCATTTAACAATTAGGATTTTCTTAATTAAGTTTTAATTGTTTTGATTAACATTAAAATTAAGAAAATTAAGTCTTGAGTACTGAGATGATGAGTTGCAGTGATCACTGCAAGACGAGCTGCTGATGCCTTCTGGATATTGCGGGAGAGAGAAAACCGACTGGATCTTGTTCTCGCAGACGCCCAGCTGCCCGACATGGACAAATATCAATTTCTTGAAACTATGGCTCGGGTTTCTCAACTCCCAGTTATTAGTCAGTATATATAGCCTTTGATTCATCTTCACACACCCACATATATACCATTATATACATACATCTATATATTTTAATTTCTTGATCATAAATAAATATATGTATATATAGTGATGTCAACGGACCCAGATGAGAATGGCATATTGGGGAGCCTGGACAATGGGGCAGAATTTCACCTGGTGAAGCCACTTACATATGACGATGTAAGAATCCTTTGGCAATTTTCTGTCCTGAGGAAAATAGAGCTCAATAGGTTGCCTTCCTCTTCTTCCTCTTCTGAAAATGGAATGAGCAGCTCTGCCGCTGAATCTCTCGATATTTTCAATAGCATCAGTCTTGAATCTGATGATGACGAGGAGTCTGATGCTAATCAAAGTGGCTCCAAAAGGAAACAGCCTGAAAACTCCTCCAGCAGAAACTCAGATGATAACTCTGATTCATCCATTGTCAAGAAGAACAGGATTGTCTGGACTGATGAGCTGCACAACAAATTCGTGCACGCCGTTGATTTTCTTGGTGCAGAAGGTTAGTACCCACTTCACGTAATTTCTTCATGTATTAATACATATATACATATATGTCTGTCAATTTCCGCCATTGACATTGCTTTCGTAATTGCAGAAGCTTTTTCGAAGAATATTCTTCAGCACATGAACGCACCTGGGTTGAGAAAGGAAGACATTTCAAGCCATTTACAGGTTTTTAATTAAGTCTCATCATATACCTATATGTTTCAAGCAAATTATATATAATAGTAGTATAACACATTCTTAAATATTCTTGAAATTTTTTCTCTTTAGTATAAATCCGTATATATATATATATATGTATCTGAAAATTAAATATACGCATAGACACACCGCACCCATTTATATCACATGGCCTTTCAAAAAACATATACATATATATTATTTGGTGCAAATATATCGACTATGTTTGAAAATGGAACAAGATGAAAAGTTGTAGTCTCACCCAATGTGGGCTTGTACCAGTTTTCTTCAAATCCGATCAACATGGGTGGAGGAGGCATTTATCAATTTCCCGGCTCGCAGAAAGGGATTGCGGTAACTTTCCATCCCGAAATCAATAACATCTTCACAGAGCATAACGTCAGTCCGGCGAACTTGGAGGCTACTACCTCCGTCGGCCAGCTCTTTGGAGCACCAGCTACAAATTTTGATGTCCGTCACTTTTCAAACATGATATCTGGTCATGCTGCTGCTCCTCTCAACTATGGCTATGCGTTGGAGAGTACGGGAAGTGATTATGACAAGAATAAGATTATGATTTACGATAATAATAATAACAATAGTAGTACTGGTAGTAATTTGCAGCCTATGAAAGAGAAAGACATGGTCATCGGAGAAACCAGTTATAATAATAATAATATTGGGACGATTAGTGGAGGTTATTATTTGGATGATCAGTTGATTGATGAGTCAACTGACTGGCGAGCATTGCTTGAAAGTGTCATGGGAGAAGAACTAACCCCTGTGCCTCAGCCTCAGCCTGTGGAAGAACAAGTTGCAGCTCAGCCGGCGCCGGCTCCCCAGATTGCTCAGCCCGCAGCGGCGGAAGTGACACCACAGCCATCAAACTTTCAGTATGGGGCGGATGGGTATGGAGGAATTGATGATCTGTTCAACATGCTGAACGTCACAAGCAATTTCTTCGATTATGATTTCAGTGATATCTTTTAGATTATCTGCAACTTTCCAGTTCAAGCGTGAAGATGATGATGATGGTGGTCGGATGGTTGAGATTTATCCATACAGACAGTTATTTGAATTTGCATGTTCGTTTGAGTTTTTAAGTTATTAAGAACTTGTTTTTATCAGTCAGCTTCCAATAATGAGCCCGTTGAGGTGTGACGGGTTGAAACTTTGTTTGGTTTGTTCGAGTTGTATTTGCTTATGTTTATGAACTATTTGCTTGGAAATTTTAAGGTATTGTTTTTATATAATCTTTTAATATTTTGTGTTATCAAATTTAATATCTGCTTACTGGGGGGTGTGTGTCAGTGTGTGTGTGTGTGTATATATATATATATGTGTGTGTATATAGGCACATGTATATGCGTGATCATTCTCACACTATAAAACGTTTTTGTTTTTTCAAAAAATTCTGTTGGAAAATTAAATTTTTAATTAAAAAATGCATAGTAGAATGAATAAGAATTTACATTTATATTAATAAATTTTTAAGTTTATTTTTAATTTTATCAAATTAGTTAAAGTTTAATTAAGAATATAAATTTATTGTTACATATGTATATTATTATTAAATATTGTATATAAGTATTAATTTATTTTATCAATTATTATTTAATTGAATTATCAATATCATTATCTGTTCAAATTGCATTATATTTTTATTTAAAATTAATTTTTATTTAATTATTATATATGTATTATCTATTTAATAAATATATTTGAAATTAATGAACTCATTTAAAAGTTTACAGAAGATTCGCCTCTGATATGAAGAAAAGTATCGGGAGGATTGTCATAAAAATTTTAGATATGGTAGGGGTAATTTCGGAAATTAAAAGTATCACATAAAACATTTCCCTCTGTTTCTTGTTGCATTTACCACAAACATGACCCCTGCAACACCCACACTCTTCCAATCTCTCCCGCCAATTCCACCTCCTACAAATCCGCATACCAGCCATCACCGACCTCCACTACCGGCACTTAGTCAAGTTACCGGAGGGAGAAGACGGAAGTCGTTTCCGTTTGCTCTAGAAGCCAAGATGATTATCACGCCACTATCAAGGCCCTCAATTCCAGAGGTCGCTTTCCGAGAAAATCTTTCAGCCAGGTCCTTCTCATTTCTTTTTCGTTTCCTTGTTTGGTTTCCTGGAAAATAGATTTGGAATAATTCGGATTTTATTAGCTTAGCCTCGTTCGTTGGGGATAATAGTCAAACACTAAGCATGTGTCTGGTTTCGTGTGTTTTTCAGCATTACATGTTGAATTCTGAAATTAACGAGCAGCTTTCTCTTGCGGCTAATGTTAAGCAAGGGATCTGGTGTTAGACATTGGACCTGGAACTGGATCTCTGACCAACGTCCTTATAAATGCTGGTGCTATCGTCCTTGCAATCGAAAAAGGTTGGTTTTATACCGAGGATATCGTCACATATTTTTGTACTTACCAGAATTCTTTCTAGCTAGAGATTATGTATTGTTTTTCTTGTTCTATTCTGGTGTTATTCGGTAGCTACAGAATTATGCACTCTTTGAGTTATGTGCTACGGGATCCACACATGGCTGACCTTGTGAGAGAAAGGTTTGCAGGCATAGACCAGTTCAAGGTATATTTTGTGTTTTTGGTTTGAAATTGCTTTTTGCTATGCTACTCAAGAAATTGCTTGAGCGATAGTTATTACTCAAAAGTTGGATGTGCTGAAACAACCGGTTCCTGGAAGAGAAGAAAAAAGTATTCAAAACCATGAAATATGGCTGGACAAACCTAGAATCTAATTTTGTAGCCATTTACATTTTATCTTTTCCAGATTCTCCTGTTCATTTTGTTTTTTCTTAATGTCCGTTCTCTTGTTACTAATTGTAGGTTTTGCAGGTGGACTTCGCTAAGTGTCACATTCACTCCCACATGAACTCATTGTTGGAAAGTAGAAAGTCTTTAGCTGCAAACTCAAGCCATGCAAAAGTGAGAACTTGACTTCCTTGATGTTATCTATTTTTTTCCTTTATCTTCCTGAATGTGACTAGCGGTTTTGGCCAAGAAGGGGAAACCAAAGGAGCAAGAATTTTTGAAACAATCGAAGATGGTTAATTTGGTTTTAATGGTCCCATGGTCAGTGGTGCTAAGTGCATGCTGTTTTCATATATGTTGACTACAAACCTGAATATGTGCTCAACCTAACTCAATTTTAGATGCAATGCCTTGAGTAACGGATTGCAGTATATGAAAATATTAACTAATTATAATCATGGAGTTGGTTGGTTGAAGCATTTTGTAACCATTTGATGAATGCAAGTTCGAGGGCGTACCATTTACTATATCTGTAACTCGATAAGGTTCTTTTTGTATTTGTATAGTTCAAGTCTAGGTTAACCAACTAGATTGGTATTAAGGCATACGTAAACATCTTTTAAGTGCAATTCCGTGTTGCAATTATTAACCCGAGTTCAACTTTCATACTACCTCTTTTGTCATTAATCCTGAAAATAAATTTTAGTAAATGAGATGCAAATCTAACAAGGTTATTTCATGCTTTCTTGGGATAAATATAACCTTCCTTTGCAGGAACAGCAGTTGTCTTAGCTTTTAGTTACATTGTTGAAAAAACCAGTTGGAGTGGAGAAGTAATATTCTTTTTATACATGACAGTGAGCTAATTCCATGGGGCCATTTGGTTCATTAATGCTTGTAACATTAAAAGACAGCATTCAAGTACAAATACGTGCATTTTGTTCTAAAAACCCAGCCTTTTCGAAGGAGGATGGAAAATGTGACAAAAGTTGGCTTTCAAGATATTTATATCTTGGCATTAAGAAACTGGGGGTATTAAGGCCCTTCCTTACTTGCAAATTGCCTCCACCACACCTCATCGTCAATTGATTCAGATATCTGAGTGCCACAGGAACATCTTTACTCTACTGTGACAGGTATGGCATTGCCCTCTCTTTCTCTGTCCTACTCCTTGCTTTTACTCTCTTTTCTCTGTTCATCCGTTTGCCTTGTGGGGTCGTATCCCTGTACCTTTTTAAGTTACCTAGTTGGTTGTGTAACTTAAAACAGCTGATGCTAGGATATTAATTTAGTCTGTTTGAGTTACTTATGATTTTCAAATGAATTCTTGAAAGGATTAGATTAATACACACGAGGCGCTTTTTATATGCATATGAATAACACCCTTATTTTTTTTGTAAAGTTATGTTTATTATTGCTGCATTAGGATGATTATGAGAGTTGTCTTTTCTTTATTTGTGCTTTCATTATGACTCTATTCTTTATTTGTGCTTGACATTACTGTTTGTGGTTTGCATTTCCGAACCATGGAGTTATAATTATAACAGTCTTACCTTATAATTTTGCTCTGTTTAGGGATGTTGTTACTAATTTCCAAGCAATTGTCACTATTATGGTATGGTTTATTTCCTTAGGCTATGTTAACCAAATCATAACCATGCTAATGGAGGAAATGATAACTGACTTGAGTTTGATGTGGTTTAGAACCAACTTATCTTCTTCCTGAATATATCTATGTATATGTATGTATACTGGATTCTTATTGTCTCACTGAAAAAAACATTGTGTTAGTGCTTCTACTGGAAGAACTTCATATCAATGTTAGTTTCTTCTCCCATCAAGCAAAAAGAGAAAATTTTTTTGGATAATGACTATCTACTTTAAAAGAAAGAACTGGTATAAAATCTTGATAGTCAAGAGGTGTAGGTGATTGACTGTGTAAAGAGTTGGTCATTTGATATTACTCAGTGTTCCTTGTTTGCCTTGTAGACTTTAAAGGTTTATTATCTTTTTAAACTTCTGTTTTTGGGGCTTTTTTCCTTTTAATGGTTCCGTTTGTAATCTTAGGAAAGGATTGCTTATTTTGGTTGAAGGGTTTATGCTGTATTAAAATACTTTCCTTATCCTTGCTAGCATTTAGGAGTCCGTGCAAAATAGTTCTTATCCTGCTCTTTTTCAATTATTTTTTTAATCTAATAAAGAAATACTTTCTTTCACTTTTTATTTTTCCCATTTTTGTTGAAGTCCTTATTCATTTAGTGACTATTAAAAGAATTATAGGAACTACTTGAACTACTTGGGATGCCTGTCCTGAAAGCAAAAGGGAGGCCGAAGCGCTGTGTGCACAGTTAAATAATGATGGTCTTGTTGATGCTTGCTTTACATTTAATACTGATGCATT